GATGATGATGATGATGATGATGATGATGATGATGATGATGATGATGATGATGAGTGTTTCAGTATCGCTTTTTTTCGGTGCGGCAATTGGAACCATCTCTGTCAAGAAGGGGCTAAGCACCAAAACGAGATGGGCTATAACATAGATGCAGCGTAGGCTCTCATAGAATTTCTGAGTGTTGCTCCTATCAACCCACTGCTGAGTTTCTCTATCCCCCTTCTCAAACCAGTCATTTTTCAGTTGCCTTAATTTCTTCTGAAGATGTCCTTTGCAAGACTTTTCAACAATAACAATATATAAGTGTACGAGACTGCAAAAATAGACTGCTAGGCCTGCTATCTATTTTGAATTGACAGTTTGAAGACATTGCTCTCATCAAACCAATGAAACTTCTTTTTATTACCATCTTTACGGACAGTTTAGAAATCTTTTCCTTTTGAAGGCATTTCAATATCGAATTACTGACGTCTGGTTTCATGTTTCAATTAATTAAAGTGCTATGTTGAAAGGGGCGGCTGGACAGCGCCGCAGGTCGAGTGCACTTCTTTACTTTTCCTCTGTTGTTTCTGTCTATCTCCCGCTTCCCCTGTGTATTAGGTGGTCGTTATCGTGAGACTGCGAGCCAGAGAAACAGAAAGAAAGGAGCACAAAAAGATACAGACGAAGGAAGGAACATAGTGATGATGTATTTTGATGAGCAAAAAGTGAACAGAACGGCACTGGTTTGTTGTCAAATTGTGGTGGCCTTTTGTGTCTTGACAGACCATTTTAAAGCAGTGTGCATGATAGATCTACAGCTTTTCCTGTGCTATAGACATAGAGGAAGTAGATTGCCAAGGTACTGCTTCCCTCTCATCGCATGTTGACTTCCTTGATATGCTCCACAGGAGAGACATCATCAGTATGTTTGGAATCCAAGGTATAAGTGTGTGTGTGTTACTATTTTTTAAATCTTTTCTGCTTGATCTCAGGAGTAGTCGGCTACTGGTTCTTCAACCTGCTGTGCAACTGATCTTTACGTATATGACCTTTTTTACCACTCAGGTCAGGTTACAGTTTGAGACTATTCGGTGTGATATTGATTAAGGTCATATTGCCACAGGCACTAATTACGATGAGAGGGCAAATAGATAGTAACGGTACACACCTAACATACTCCAGCGCTGAACATTTATATGGGACTATGGCGTAAATTTGAAATACGAAGCTGGACAAAAGAATTATTGATACGTCATGTGAGCTTTCGGGTGGATGCGTGACTATAGGTAAACAATTCACTTTAATGTTGAAAAAGAAAAGTCGGACAGACCATCCAAATCGCACATTTACTATATGTTACCATAATTTATTAAGATGGGACTTCGTAATATTGAGAAAGAGCCAAGACCACCTTTTATTGTTTTTAATGTCCACAAACACATTATGATAAAAACCCATGTATCCTAGACGTGGCCTCGAGGTCAGTTGACTGGACTGGGCAGTTGTCTTCGCTGTGGGTTTAAAAGACATGTTGATGACAGTTGGTCGCTTTTAAGTCGGAGGGGGCTATCCCGAAAAATGCTGTTTCGATAGAATCGAAGATAAAGTTTTTGGACCCTCAGTTTCATTAAAAGACAAGGAGAGTTTTTCTTGTCGCCAAAGAAGAAGAAGAACAAGAACAAGAAGAAGAACAAGAAGAAGAACAAGAACAAGAACAAGAACAAGAAGAAGAACAACAACAACAACAATACAAATACCAAAACAACAACAATAACAACAGCAACAACAACATATTAATGAAGAGAAACTTCCTAATAACCCTTGTTTATTTTTTTGAAACAGCCATGATTGTACCACGTACCTGGAATAAATAGATGATTCTTGCAAAACTGAAGACATTTGCTATAGCAAAAAGGCCCTCTGAGATGAGTGTTGGGTCGTTCTGTGGCCAATCTTTTCTTTTCATCTCTCGCTGGCCGTACTTCCCCGACTCAATCTGGGGAGTAGAGAACAGGGAACGCGAAACTGACGGCTGCTGATAGATAGATAGATAGATAGATAGATAGATAGATAGATAGATAGATAGATAGATAGATAGATAGATAGATAGATAGATAGATAGATAGATAGATAGATAGATAGATAGATAGAGAGCAAGAGGGGTAGATAGAGAGAAAGAAAGAGAGAGAGATAGAGAGAGAGAAATACATAGAGAAAGAGAGAGACAAGACGAGAGAGAGAGAGAGAGAGAGAGAGAGAGAGAGAGAGAGAGAGAGAGAGAGAGAGAGGGGGGGGGGGAAGCGAGAGAAAGAAAGATAGACAGATTACTTCTGTGCATCTGAAGTCATTGGTATCAGATTTTAAGCTTGTGTCTATCATTCAATGAAAAAAATACCAATCCTTCTTAACTAAAAGTCAAGATGTTTGGTATATTTGAAGGAGGTAAAATATGGAGAAAAAATGGCCACCATAAGTTTGGTGACCTCCATAGCTTGAGAGTCCTTGGAAACTGAAAATGCACAATTGCCGTTCCTTCAATCAACGCTTTTCAGTAAATTCTACGCAGAATATGTTTTTGAATGTACATCAAAGGTGTTGAGTCAAGAAACAAAAATTCTGCAGAATTGCTTACATCGGGTGAAAAGTGCCGGTATCCTCCATTTCATTATTTTGACGATCGCCTGATTCCAGCTCATGCCTCACAATAGTATATACTTATACATGTACTAGGCAAAAAAAACGCAAAAAGGTCATCGTCGTTAAAGTTAAAGTGCTAGTCAAAGTTTCCACGAGTGAGTACTGCTTACATGTTCCATTGAATCATGGTCTGAGCCGACTGGATTGGCCTCAGTTGAACAATGCAATGCTGCCCGGATCTATCGCTTATGCAATAAACTACTAAACAACTATCGCAGCTCAGGGGTACTCACATTTCACATCATTCAGGTAGTGAGTTTGGGTTCATGATGTCACGTAGGCCTGGCCTATAGTTCTGAAACCTCGAAATGGGATTCCGTTGGGAATTAAAACAGTGTCAAGGAGCCCAGACTTACATCAGAAAACTTGGGGGGGGGGGGAGCTATTGGACGACTACAGGCTGGTGAGTCTGCTCAACATGTCGCAACTATTATAATAGGCGTGCGTGTCTCCACCATCTACAGACTACTGAACCAGTTTCGAGCCACCAACCCGGTCAGTGATCTCCCCCGAGTCGGAAGACCAAGAGCGACAACTGCAGCTCAGGATCGCCTGGTATCGTACCATGGTGGACCAATACCGGATGAATCCGTTCCTGACAACCACCGAGACCAGCAGGAACGACAGAAGATATTCGGAGACGTCTCCGGCGAGCACCCAGGAACTATTTGGAGACGAACTCCCGCACACATATGCACTGCTTTGGGAGGTCAAACTGCGTATCGTTTGCTGCAGATCACACATATAGCCACCAAAACTGTCGCAAATCAATTACTTTCAAGAAAATTTCAAACCTAACTGCAAAATATCAAATCAAGGGTTAAAACAGAAGGGCATGCCCCACTGTTCCTCCTGATGATATTTTGACTTGGTCTAGAGGCACAAAGCATTTTGATTGGTCTATCTCGGTCGAAGACGTCTCCGAATACATACTGCGCCAGGAACACCATTGGAGAAACGGGACGAGCCCTGAGTACCATGGCCGTACGGCGGAGACGACCATGTCGCAGGCTAGTTCTGACCTCTCAGCAACGACGGGGCCGGCTTCTGTGGTCACAGGCTCACATAAACTAGAGCTGACTGAAATGTCTTTAGGCCATTCCTAAAGGGGGGACATCAACATGTTCTTATGCACAGTAGAATTGTAAATGAGCTGGTTCATCAATGGCATGCTCATAACTGTGCCTGAACTGCAACAGGGAACTGCTGCTTTAAAAAAAAATTACTAATCCTTACTATCGTCATTTTCTTCTTCTTCTTTTGTATGTTTGTCACACTCTTGTGACCCACTATTTCCGGGGTGCCTCGATAGTCGAAGCAGACCTTGCGCTGTTGAAACTAGACAGGTGAGCAGAGTAAGTCTGATTACCTGTAAGGACTTCTCTGTTGAGTTCCACTCCTCGGCGCTCATATGACCGTATGCAGTTGCGAGCGCCACTAAAACCCCTACTAAAACAAAAACAAAACATAAACTAGAGGAATAGACATCAGAGAAGGGCATTCTTCAGCGATAAGAGAAGATTCAGCGTTGATCCGGCAGATGGTTGCATCAGTGTGAAATGCACAGACCTGACGTACTACGCTGACGCCAGTGTCTTGGAGAGCAACCCTAGGGGAGGGGCAAGCATCATGATTTGGGGAGTCACCGCTTTAAATCAAAGAACTAAACCAGCGTTCTTCCAGAAAGTGGTCATGGACAAATAAATGTAATCGCAATTCAGGGCTGCAATGATCAAGTTCTTCAGCCTCATGCGGTACCATTTTTTTTCCAGAGGCATCCAACTTGCTTTTTCGAGCAAGACTACGCCAGATCTCATACTTCCTGTGTAACACAACAGTCCCAGGGGCAGATCAACATCAGTATTTGCCTCATCCGGATCGTTCACCTGACTTAGATCCCATCGCGCACGTTTGGTACGCTATCCAAAGGCAGCTGATTTGGCTTAAGCCAAAGGTGTGGTTACGGATTTCAGGTCGAAAAATACAGCTCTCGTGTACTCTATGGGTCGAAGATGAAGAGCAGTTATTGCAGGCAACAGGGTCACACATATTACTGATTTTCCGACCCAATGTCAAGATCACAGAAATAACATACTGAGGCCAACATTGCACTAAAACACCTACCTATTGATACTCTCGTGGCTGTGTAAATTGGACGAATTAAAATTTCATTTGCGCATGACCACCCCTGGTGAGAGTAGTGTGTTTTATTCCTGCATCTGTTTTTGCGTTTCTTTTGTCTCTGTGAATATATAT